TTTAAAAAGGGGGGGGTTTTTAAAGCATGTTTTCTTATGTACGTGTTTACCATTCTCATTTGTTCACAATACCGGGATGGGGATATAAAAAGTAGGGGACACCACTTGGGCATCTAGCATTTTTCATATTTCTGACACGATGCTGATTCCATATGTATGCATGTTACTTAATCTCTTTGCGGAGAACATTCATAAAACAGAATTTCAAGCATTCTGTGTGTAGATTATTATTCATCTGCAGTATCCCTGAATATTCTAAGTCTTTAAAAAGATCCATGTAATATTGAAGGACAGAATTTCTGCAATAACCCCACCATCTTTCGATTCTTTGGTTATGATTTGATGAGCCAATCATAACTGGTACCGAGCTATCGTCGTGGTCTTGGCGAAATAGCGTCTGGACATCTGCAAGGACAACATTTTCAGTTCCTTTGTCGATTCTAACCGTACGGGGAACTAACCCAAGTTCTTCAACAGTGCCAAGGAAATAATTACATATTAACGCAGGGTCCTTATTAGTTACGTCTACATCAATCCATAGAATATATCTACTCCACCCATCAATAGCAGCGCTTATGCAAAATCCAAAGGGCTTTAGCTTGTCATTGCCATCAACATGCCACATGTGGTTAGGACCTCCTACAGTATAGCATCTTCTTTGAAGCCTTCTCTGTCGCATTTCTATTCTTCGGTCTGGTTCGATAATATTGACAATATCTCTAACTGTTTCCCTTGAAAGAAATGCAAAGTACTTATTTTCTGAAAGAACTTTAACACTAAGACATTCAAATCTATATGTTTTTAAACATTCATAACCAAAAGATACAGTGCAAATAATATTGCATGCATTACAATGCCCCACGACATTGTAAATATATTCAGTTTGAAAAAAAAATCATCTAGATTGGACCTGGCTGTTTGTGTCTACTTTACATAGCTTGTATTTAACTCGGACACAAATTGTACAGGTGTAAGACGAGTTTTTTAAGTCCGGCATGCAAGAAATCCTTGCCATTTGTCGAATGACGAACATGTAACCTTGTAACGTAATTTCATACATTTTCAGAAATGTTATATATAAGCAGCACAAAATACTACAAATTTTCAGAGGAATTCCGCCACAAGGTCTAGAAAACATCATACTCCGCATACCGTCAATACTTCAACGGGTGAAATATAGAGGTTTCTCGATATTAAAAAACAACTTTTATACATTATAATTTTCAATGGAAATTCTCTTTATTGTGCAATGGAATTTCTCTTTATTGTGATACAGCAAAACAGTAATTACATATGGTTCGTCAGTTTATCAGTTTTCTAGTATTATCTATTGATAAAAAAGTGAGTCACGTGCTACTGTTCGTTTTTTACAAGTAACTGTGACAAAAATGGACGTTATATATTTTTCCAAAAAAGTCATGACAGACATGTTACAGACATGCAATCTGGCCTGTAAATTCAGCAACTTCTTTAACCGGATTTCGACGTTTGATGAACACAGGATAAAATAGTACCGGAACGTCAGCGTTTATAATACAAATTCTAACACGCTTCACACTCTTGCCCCATTCAAGATACTTGACATTCGAGTGGGTTATTACACGATATACCACGGAATAAAGAAAGGAATGTTTACACGTCGCCTGACATCAGCATCCTCGGTAACCCAGGCGTGCTCGTTACGTATACACTTCATTCGCACCCCTGGGAAAATCAGCTGTCAAAATTTCGTAGTTATGAATAATTAGTGAGATGAAATTCTATCACCTGATTGGACGCTTCAAAAAATCTTGAAGATCCATTGTCTAATTAAATCACGCGATCGTCGCTATGTTGAAAATGACAGCCCGCTTCTTTCTAAATTTAGTATCGACAAACTTAAAAAATCAGGAAGAGACAGTCATTATTTATTACAGGGCATTGATGTTTTTATGTTAGAACTGGAGGGGGCAAAAGCACATTTTATCAAACCACCGTATGCATTTTAAACATATTCAACAAATTTTCACTAGGGACTGTCATTTTCAAAATACTCTTCACTTGGATTTTAAACCTGTTGATTTCATTGGATAAAAACAGGTCATGAATATTCATGCATTACGAAATTTTTTCAGTCGATTTTCCCACGGGTGATGAATGTAGAGTTAACGGAATTAGCACACGTGGGTTCCGACGATGGACGTCAGATAACGATATAAAAATTACTTGTCCGCTCAATGTAGTTCAACAATTTTTTTTATCGATTCTCTTTTTATTAGCATGTTAGAATGGAAATGGATATCAATTTTTCTTGCGTTGTGGTATAATAATGCATGGTTTATCGTTCAAATGCTTTGTAATTAATCACTCAGGCCTACCGGCCTTCGTGATTATATTACTGCGCATTTGAACTCGAAACGTGCATTATTCTACAACAAATCACTCAAAATTGAGATCTATTTCCTAAATAAACGACAGAACGCAATCTGTAAACTAACCTAACCATAACAATTCATCTATTTTTCGATTCCATTCTGTGGCTTATTTTGCATAATTTCCAATGAAAAAGTCATTTTTTTTAAAAAAATACCTCTTAACTAATAACCCATGCTCTCTTCTTAGTCTCCTCCATATTTGTCCCACACCTAGATTTCTGCTGATACCACCAAGTTCTGCCATCACTGCATTGATGATTGCATCAATGCAAGATTCTTCTTTTCGGCTATGAAGCTTAAGGACTTGCACATGATGTTGTATTAATCTAACACTGAGAAAAGAAATCTTTAAATTAATCATTAGTAAGAAAAAATACTTTGGGGAACCCAAATTCTCGTAACATAAACTAATATGTGGCATAACTTTGTCACTTAACTGTCTAAGGGACCCGAAACAATGCACAAGAAACTGAACTTTTGTCAAACGTACGGTTTAAAAGACCTACACGGGTTACGACCATGATTCCTCATATGACACCAGTACTGGTTGGTTCCAAGAAGCGGACTCGAGAGTGACTTAAATAAGTTGTGAGAACTTGCCTTACAATCGAGCTAAAATAAATAAGTTTAAACTACAAGACCTACGAACATAAACAAAATATACAACATGCCCGATTTATTTTGTTACTGTGTAATAATTACAATAAACACTCTTTGATTGTGTATAGATGATATTCTTACATATTTCTTATGTTTTACAAATTTTGTACCTTAAAAAGTAAAAAATAAAAAAATGTTCTCTTTTATTCTGATTATAATATTGAATACATACATAGTGAGCAAACGATATTTGCTAGCTCTGTCCAGACTCATCTTCCGTTGTAAAATTTTAATTTTTGAACCAGGATTTTGCATAGTGAACAAGAGGTTCATAATTAATTATTGACAATACTATTTTAAGTAAAGATATTTAGCTACCTCCTCCAAAGCCCATGGTTCATTCCTATAGCAGCTGCAATTTCTTTGCTGTTAAACCCTTTTTTAAAATAGTGCTGTATCAAATCTTGTAATTTGTCTTTCCTCATTTCTCACACTTACGAATAATTTTCAAAATAAAATGAACGACATGAATTGTGCATAAAGTATGTTGTATTTCGCATGAAGCATGTCGCATTTGGCAAAAAGCATTTCGGATAAATGCATATCGCATTTCGCGTAAAGCATAACACATTTCGCATAAAGCAGGCAAACTGTTCAAAAACCATGATGTTAGGAATTCCGATGTTAGATGTAAAAAAAAATCTTGAATTTTTATTCCACGGAGGACCAAATTTAGGTAAGAACTTCAATTTTTGTTTGTTTGTTTCATTTTACGCCCTTTTCAACAGTATTTCAGTCATATTGGCGAGTTTCTTAAGGAAAAAGAGTCAACTTGGTCCACGGCACGGGTAAATTCGGCACAAAGGTGCCCGTCGCGTGACCTGGACCCCGATCCCCCAACCCCACACTACAACCCCCAATATTTTCAAAAATAAAAAAATGATCATCTGAAACCTGTAAAACACTATCCAATATGCATATTACAATCAAATTAATAGTTTCCAACAAAAATATAAAATTCTATTGTTTATTTATAAACTAATAAATAAACAATAGAAACCTTTCTATGGCTACAAAAATTCTCCGTGGAAATGTTGATACCTTTCATTTAAAGAGAAACATCTTTACCTTTCATTTAAAGAGAAAAAACTTTGGCTGTTAAAGTATATTTATTTTAATGATTTTGAATGCATCAAATTCAAGTTATTCAAGTTCAATCCCTCCTTAGTGTTTGTTGCTTACTGTAAGACAAAGCTAGTTTATATTAGTTTGCAACAACATAGATCACAGTTACATAAAAAATAATAGTTTCAAACATTGCTAATCTGTGATTCTTTGAGATTTTATTGCCTGATAATTATTTTTTTATCTGCACTTATCAACTTCAAAGACCCAATGCCGACAACAAACTCAAGGCGGGGTTACATAGCCCAACAAAAATTGATACGTCACACATTAAGTATTGGCCGCTGTCATTGGTTAATCACCTGCAATACTGACACTTATTGACAGGTTTATCAAAGGAGAATGTGTTATTCCTTGACAGCTGAAGTGTGTCGGAGTAACTAACAATACAATTATCCGTTAGACCCCTGCTGTTTAATGGGGAAATATTACTTCAGGCATATATAGTTGTAAAAGTTGTTTAAGTCTATTGTTTAATTATGTTTATTGGTAAAAATGATGCTTTAATTTTTTTGTTGGTTGAATTTTTGAAAATCGGGGGATTTCGATCCCACATCGGGAGACATGGTCGAAAATCGGCGGTTTTTGTCCCCCGGCGGGGGATTTGGCATGTATGAATCAAGTAAAAATAGAAATCCTATTTATTTAAACAAACTGGGATTACCAAAGTAATTAAAATAGCTTAGATTTCGGTAATATTACTTCGTCCAATTCCGCAGTATGACGAAATCGCCCGATTGCAATTGCAATTGGAACTACCTCGGCTTTTATCATTAATCCGAAGAGTGACGGAAAGGGTTGAAAAGTTGCGATTGGCACGATTGTAGCTGGTTTCCCGTTCAATCATGCACTAACAAATGTAAGCAGGAAACCAAAAAGATAATCAAATATTTTTGTATTATATATAGTTTGATAATATTTTATTGTATAAATATACACACGATATACAATTTCACAACTTTACAAACCTAATCAAGTGTACTTTCAAGTGGGTGGGGCCAAAAGTTCTGACAACATTATCGTGGGCCCTTCCCTGAAATCATATATAAATGCTTAATAAACAAAACTAGTGGAAAAGAAACATAATTATAAAGTATTTTTCTAGATATATGATATTTTATGTCATAAACCCGAATATTCATTTTCACCAGCCTGCTTAACCCATTACTTCATGAGCATTTTGTGAAAAATGGCTGTTTTCATTGAAAAGTCTCCCGTTACATTAGTTCAAATTGCTATAATACTATAAAATCTGCTTCAACACTAATCAAACTTGGCACAAATGTTGACTGGACCATTGCCCTTGCAACAACATGCTCATGCTTTAATTTTCTGTTACCATGGCAACAAGGGGACATCTCAAAATTGCCAAAAATCACTATTTTGCGTTGACTTTTTCCATTATAATTGATTTCAAAGTGCTGCAACTTCTCAATGGATTGAGATAGAGTCAAATGCTTTTCAGCGTTGGTTAGAAAGGCGTTAAAAGGCATGTATATGAAGAAATGGGTTAACTTAGGTTGTGGGGCATATAGCTGTATAAAATTGTTAAATGTGAAATTTTGCAATGGTAATAAAAAGGTCAAACTTAAAATTATTTTTGAACATCCTGGAACAAAATTGTCAATTTAAGTTAGGATATACTATAATTATGTAAATAGATATTTTTTGTCTGAAATTAATTTATTTGGCATAAACATATTTAACCCTATACTCCGAGGTTTTTTTCCAAGGATTTTGAGCCAAAAACCTTGGAATATCTACACCCGGGAGATCAGTGAAGAAAGTGAATCCGAGAAAATGACAGCTTTTATTATATCACTGTCATGAATCCAGCACATAGCATTTCTAATAGCAAGGAGCTCAGTATAGATGGATGTATTATTGGTTAACCTATCAATTTTTTCATTTTAGATTGAGTCACATAGCCTTTTAATTAAATATGTTAGACCTAATCAATGAGGTTTGTTTCAACACGAGTACATATTGATCGACGAAATAAAGTATAAACTCAACCTTAAAACCTCTTTCTTACAAAACTGCACATTTCACAAACTGTTATTTTTTCAAACCTTCAAAGAAGTTTTTTTGTCTCTTGTGTAACTAAATATTCAACTCGCCACCACAGACAAACAAATCATGTTAAGTTTATATACTTTTGTAACATTTTTGATACATATGTAGGCAGTTTAAAAAAGTGTCTTCGCAAAGAAAATAAACTATAATAAGATTGCTTTTAACCTTTATACCAGCAGACATACTGATATTCGAACATTTCATTGCATAAAAAAATATACCTTCACATATCAAATATATGAGGCTCTCACTAAAAATCTATGGATATAATGATCATGAAATAATTTTAGCTGAGATTTAGACATATTGGAGGAATCAAAAATAACAATAAATAACCAGAAATTAAAAAATATTTTTTTTCTTCTTTTCTCTTTGGATATCACAATTCCCCTGAGAATGGGTGGTAGGCTCGAATCTGGAGTTTCCGACCTTCTCTTAACATATAGTATATTTTTAAAGGGGGTCATTATTTACATTTTATGGGTTTTTTTTGACACTTTTAAGATGAACACAGGTTTTTTTATCAATCTGGTCATATTTTTTCTTCCCAGGTCCGATACTCGTGCCTGTGGGTAGATGGCAGTCTAGAGATTATGCACGTCTTTTTTTTTCTTCCTATGTTGAAAATTCTTGTTGCTATGGCAACACATAGACTGAAAATATGGCAAATCTTTACATTTAAACTGAATCCAGTAATAACTCAAAAAGTACTGGAAATATTTTTATGAAATATGATAAACAAAATCGACAAGGAAATTCTGGAAACAAAGTGATCCCTCGGAAGCATTAATCACAACAAAATAACATAAGAATTGCAGACTCGGTTTGGTTGAGTCTGTACATGAGGGATAATGAATAAGTGCAACATCCCTCACGCCCCCTAGCACCGGCTTGAGCGGTACTCAATTCTCAACACTTTATAGTGTTGGCATCAATGATCCCGAAGGACCAGAAAATATAACAACACTGAAGTGAAGTACGGGGCAACTTCTTTTTTACAGCTGCCACACAGCACTTGACACCTGCTGTTGAGAAGTACAAAATTCTGGAAACAAAGTGATCCCTCGGAAGCATTAATCACAACAAATAACATAAGAATTGCAGACTCGGTTTGATTTAGTCTGTACATGAGGGATAATGAATAAGTGCAAAATCCCTCACGCCCCCTAGCACCGGCTTGAGCTGTACTCAGTTCCCCAACACTAAGAAAGGCGGCGTTCACTGAACGCAACCCCATATGACCCAGCCACAAGAACCAGTGACAAGGAGCTCAGGCGGACCCCAAACAAAAACAGGACAGGGCAAAGACAGAGCACGGACAGGTTAATCACTAAATGATAAATAATTTAAAACACTGACTTGATGTACGGGGCAACTTTTTACAGCTGCCACACAGCACTTGACACCTGCTGTTGTGAAGTATAAAAATCTGGAGACAAAGTGATCCCTCGGAAGCATTAATCACAACAAAATTACAAGAGAATTGCAGACTCGGTTTGATTGAGTCTGTACATTATGGATAATGAAAACGTGCAACATCCCTCACGCCCCTTAAGCACCGGCTAGCGGTATCAAAATTTGTGCTGCATCATAATTTAAAATTCAAACTAA